TCTATTAGCTCCAAGCTGCCAATTGAACTGAGGCTCTTCTTCTCTGTAATCTTTCTGATGTTGTCATATCATCCAAACTAACCAGTGTGGTTTCAGCTGTATCTTATATAAACTGCCAGTACTTTAACCCAGGGCGCCAATATTACACTTGGCTAATGGCTTGGCTATTTTCTCCCCTTCAATAATGGGATTGTGTGATGAATCATAGTGATGTAATTGTAGTAATCGTTACATTCAAAAATCGGACAGATTAGGAAGTGTGGCTAGTCCCAAATTAGCATGTGCATAAAGAAGGTTTGGTCTGCTCCTTTAATTCACATGTCAGCAAATATTGCATCATTTCAGTGGACTGCAGTTCATACTAAAAGTAATTACAAGGCACAAGCAGACAGAAAGGACTGCTCAGAAACAATTGATGAAATTATGATTAATCTTGGAGTCACAATAGTGATCACATCCCTTAGGACAGCTCCTGTGGTGTTACAAAGCTCTTACCTCAAGAAAGTTTCTTTTTCTTAAATTTGCTAAAGTATATCCATATGTTTACCAAATTCTTACAATAGTATTTCTGTGTTTTTTTTCTCATATGCTTTACAACACTATAGGAATGCTGTTCTGCACTGTGCGTTACTGTATTTCACTGGTACAGGGGAAGTGCAGGGGAAGTCGCAGCAGGATTGCAGTAAAACCAAGGTGTAAATGCAGGAATAGTGGGGTTAATCACCCAAGGTAAACATGCATAAAGTATTAAGTGACTTTAATCTACAGTACATCTTTAATAATCTGTATGTAAGACTTTCCAACAGTGCTGTGTGTTCTTCCACAACCGTTATCAGTGTGGTATTTTTTACTTCACGGCTGGGAGCTGGCAAAAACTCTCAAAACAAAACATTCAAGCTCCTGTTTTTTTATTGGACTGTAAAAGTGCACTTTGTCTTTTTCCCTGCTAGCAATGCGCTGAAGGTATAAAATTCATTAAATTTGCTTCCTTTAACCCGCCTTTGTTTCTCTGTCACCTCCTCAGCCTGGAGATAAGCCTTCTTTTTTTCTCCTGAATTCTCTTAAGCCTCAACATCCTTGATCCGTTCACACACAATTCCGAAAGTGCGGATTTTCCCCCCCCGACGAGGATCATTAAAGCCATCCGATTTGGGAAGGTAGGGAGGTGGGGTGTCGCTGGCATTCCTGAGTCCTGGAGATCGTGGAGGTTATAGAATGCAATTCATTACCCCGAGCTGCTGGGATGGGAAGCCTGTGTCAAAATCCCTACACCGTTCTCCAGATGTGATCGGGGTCTCCCATTGGCTTTTACAATAGGGAAATAGCTACATCTTGAAGAATGGCCAACCCAGCCCCCCGCCAACTAATATCTGTTCTTCAATGACCCATTTTCACCCTCTCTGACTCTAATTAAATTCTCCCTGCTCTTTTCTGAACAGGGGCCATAGACTTTATACCATCACTGTCCGGTACAGAGGGGTCACAAATACTCTGCTTCACCGCAGAGTGCCCTTATCGCATTTTAGAACAGTAACTGTGTGCATTTACATCTATTGATCCCCATTGCTTCATCACAGTAATGTGGAATTGGTAACTGCTCAGGAATTGTATTTTGTTATTTGTCCTTATTATTAGTTGTCTTTCTTCTCAGCAGATACGGGACAAAATTGTGCTGATCTCTGCAGATTACAATGGAAAGCTTTAAGTTTACAGGCTTTTGTCTCTTAATTTTGCTCTTAATTTGCCTCACTTTCTCTTGCAATGACCCTCTCTGTTGATGTAATCACATCAGTACCAGGTAGCAGGCCCAGTAGCTTGGAAGTCATTTGAAAATATTTTTTGTGTTTTAGATGATTATCATCTGCCGTGCATAAGCTTTAGCAGCAGGATCTAGGCATTTCGGCTTACTGGAAGGCTGTACCAGATGCTCAGTAACTGGCATGTCAGAGCCACGGTTCAAATCCACACATTTCCAAGTGAACCTTGCCTTTGCTTCTGTGCTGTGTTCAGTGGGAGTCTGGGTCTGTCTACTACACCTGGGAGATACAACAATCCTGCAGGTTGTTTTCTTGCAGAGAATGAGCGGTTATCATGTCAGGGGCTGGTTTTAGGCTTTTAGGCTTCTCCAGGGATGGAGAGAGATTATGAATTAGGTTTTGTTAATAGCAATGCAGTTTGCAGTGCCACTGTGTTAAATGCACAGTGTGTAAAACTCAACTTCAAGCCTTGTTTAGGTGTGTCCATGCCGCTAAAACGCACCTCTTTGTCAGTCTAAGCACTGTATTTCTGCAGTGCTCTTTTACTGCTCGTGGAGTGAGAGTCGGCAATCTGTAGTCGCTCCTGTGGTCAGAGCCCAGGGAACGACAGAATGATACTGGGAATCAAGCAATAATTAGTCATGTAGTTGTTTTGTCAGTTCATGAAGAGACGGGCACCCTCTTTCAGTGCCTGTTGTGTTAATCGTCTTGCCGATGTGCCCTTTTCCCAAATATGGGAGATTTAGAGGGAAGAAAATGGAGGCTAACAGTGAAGAAAACCCGAAACCCTGGTTTGAAGTGAACTGGAAACTTAAGGTTTAAATAAACTGCAAGCTCTTGAGACGTGTTGTAATTCTGTGGATTTGCCTTAACCGTGCAAGACCTGCTGAAAAGAAGGAGACGGCATCATTTTTATTATTATTATTATTTTATATAACCAAAATTAAGCAGTCATTAATTATTAAACCTTATTATGTTAATCTCTGAGTAGATTGTGTCTTCATCTGAGATACTTTATCTTCATCCCTCAGAATCATTAATTATTAAACATTATTATGTTAATCTCTGAGTAGATTGTATCTTTATCTGCATCACTCAGAATTCCTGGGTATTATATCATCTCTGAATCAATAGCAGACCTCTTTTCCGAATGCAGTGTGCGCTCTGTCTTTGCAGCTCTGTTTCTACCTTGGCTCACTGGATGCTGACATGGTTTATGCGTTCCCACTCCATCGCTGAGATTGGATTCCGCCAGAGGAAGACTGCGTTGTCAGTGGGCCAGTGTGAGAGGTGGCATGTGCTGCTGACTGGTTTCGTTCTGATTTCCTACAGATCTTGATTAATTCCCCCTCTTTTCTCTTTGACGGCTTCTTCTCTCTCTGGGGTGGGGATGGAGTGACAGGGCAGAGCCCCAGTCAACCAGCAACCCCAAGCTTCTCTCTGGCAGCTCTTAGTAATTTATTGCTGCGCTTTTGTAGTGATCTGAGCTTGGCAGAGCTCGGGGGCTCCGTTTCAAATATTCTGCCCTCTGCCCGCGGGTGAGAATTCACTCACATCACCCTGCTGTTCCTTCTCTCTAAATTGTTTCGGTTTCAGGTTATTTGGGGTATCAGCGGTTTTGTCTTAGTGCTCGAGAAAATGCTTTCCTTGTTTCTGGTTTAGCAGATGAAAACTGGCTCTGTATCCCGGTGTAAATTTGCAAATCCTGTTACTCTGAGTGTAATGCAAATAGTCAGAAATTTTTGCATGCGTGTTCTGTATACAGAATGCAGTGCAGCACTGGCGTCTGATCATTGTTTTGTCAAGGATGTAGGCAAAGCAAGCTGGATGCAGTTTTTATCCGACTTTTTCAGCTTTGCTACATTACATTGTACATACACACTACTGGACCTTTCTGTAACAACACGCACTTATCCTATGTTTCAGTTTGCTTTAGTCACGTTTTGCTGTTGAAGCAGAAAACAATCAACTCTCGCTGTCCCACGATGTCACTTCAATAAAGCTTTTCTCCATTGTGTTTTGGTAATCTGGATAAAATTAGACCCAGCGGTACACTGAAATACTGCACATTTTGTTTGAAAGATAGGAACAGACAACAACAGCAGCTCATTAATGTAATATAAGGGCAATATGGCCCAAAGCCAGAATTGGAAATACAGTATGTGCAATAGAAAAACATTTAGAAAAAAAAACATTTCTCTATCAAAATAAGTGCATGGAAAACCTGCACCCATGACAGTCTGATGTTAAATATGAAATCAATGTTGATGATTATTAAGTTCATTTATAAAGTGGTTCTTAATGTCACCTGTATTTCACATCATAGGCTCATATTAGAGAATGAACTAGCTTTAAAAATAGTGATAGAGATTTTATTAGGGCTGATGGTGGCATGTTAACAAGCAATTGAAGTTTGACTGTGAGCTGGGACAAGCATTAGTCTTAAATCTTGACTGGAAGAAGAAAGCCCGTTTCTGTTTACCACATTACACCCTCCTCAACAAGACCCCCCAGCTAACATTAAGGGAAAATGAAGCATTTCAGGTGCAGGAGAGTTAAGTAGCCCAGGAAGGAGAAATCCGTGTTTATGCCTGGACACAAATTCAGCGGCCCTAGGGAAACAGGGTGCAGTTCACAACGAACTGGGGAAACGACACCAGCTCTAAAACGGCTGGAACACATTGCCCATATAGAGCTGCTACGATGCAGATTTCCTTCAGGTGATTTGCTCAGGTTTTAAATTCTTCATCAGCCTGAGGTTATTAAAAAAAACAAACTTGAACAAGTGTGGTTGCCGTTTTCAGATCTTAGTTCTGCTGTTGCGTAGTCATTTTTTTTTTTCAATCACAGACCGACTTTGAGCAGTGCTTCCATGAGCAAATGGGAAGTATTTAAAGCAAAAATGTATGAAAATACATGGACATCTCCAACATTGTAATGATAAGCAAGAAACGAAAACCCTAACGTTTTAAAGACAGAAATCAAATACCCGGGTGCTACTTGCAGAAATTCTCTTGCAGCCCGGGAAGAAAAAACAATGGATGTGTACAGCATCATGATACCAATAGCTATTCACAGACGCAAATCAGAATATTTCTGTAAGGTGCGCTGAAGACAGGATTCTTTCAAACTGAGCTTTGCCATAGAGCTGACGTCCAACAGCACTCTCCCATTTCCCTGATTCTGCTTTCCCGGGTATTCAAACGAGCAAGTTAAAATAAAACTCTGATGACTTGCACTCACCACCAGATGGGATAGCCTCCAATCACCCTTGAACCGGACAGCCAGACGCAGAGGGTATATCCGAGCAGGTACCAATCCATGAGGTATACTTTGTGTGTATACATGTATACAAATAGATGTCCCAATGTACAGTCCCAGTGGAAAAATCCCCCCCAACAATAGAGGGGAGAAAAACTTTATTTGGGGAGAGAGGGGGAAAGTAAAAGTTTGAATTTTGCTTTTTTTCCCTGTTTTCTTTTTTTTTCTTTTTTACGGGCCAGAAAAATGGATGTGCCTGCCTTCTCCAGTTTTGGAGAGTGAGCTGGTCTCTCTCCCTCTCTATCCCTCTCTCTCGCTCTCTCTCTCTCTCTCTCACACGCGCGCTCTCACCCTGCCTCTCTCTCTCCCTCCCTCTCTGTCGTTCCTCTCCAAGGTAGCTCTCTTTTTCTCTCTCTCTCTCTGTTTTTTTTGCATAGCTCATCCAGGGGCTGATATTAAAAAAAAAAACCCAGAAAAGAGAGAACAAGGTTTGGAGACGTCAGCTGGCAAGCCAATCATAGACGATGGCCTTAGGTTACAAACACACACTCTCGCGCAAAAAAAAAAAAAATTCTTAGTTTCCATCTGTCAATCACCCACCACCCCCCGGTAATGTGGAAAAAAAAGGGAGAAAGGTAGAGTCTTTTTTTTCCTTGATCTTTGCATCTATAATCTTTCCAAGAACGAGCTGACCCCGACTGGTAGGGTTGCTGGTGTGCTTTCCTGATGCATAGTGGGATAGGATGGGGAGCTACAAGTTCCTTTTTTGGGTTCAGCCCCATCGACTTGGCTGTTACCCCACAAACCCACCCTCCCATGTACCTCTGGAGTTTACCCCCCCCCTTTTCTTACATATATACACACTCACACAGCAGAGCAATGGTTGGGGGGGGTTAACCATCCCACTGCAACAGCAGGACACAAAGGCAACAATAAAGCAATAAAGCGTGAGGATGGGCCAGGCAGGCACCGGCACAGCCCGGCCAGCCACAGGCCGAGCGCTCGTCAGGGGACCGCCCTCCCGCCCCGACGGGCCCGGCGGAGGGGGAAGGAAGCAAGGCGGGCGGCGCCGCGGGTGACGGAGGTGATCTCCCAAGCGCTAGGTGCGCTTCTCCGCGGTGGGGGGGGGGGGGGGGGGGGGGTGCTGGACCCCCAGCGAGCCCCGACGGGACCGGCGGAGGGGGTAGGAAGCAAGGCGGGCGGCGCCGCGGGTGACGGAGGTGATCTCCCAAGCGCTAGGTGCGCTTCTCCGCGGGGGGGGGGGGGGGACGAGCGGCTGTCTCGCCAGCGCCCCCCTGCCGAGCAGTCGACCGGGCCCTGTGTTCATCGCCATGGTGGTTAATCGGTCAGCGGAGGGGTGGGTTCTCACGATTTCTGCGCTGAGGTCGGGCAGGGTGGGTAGTCGTCCGAGGAGCCCTGGACAGGACGTGCGCTGACTGCCCCTGTCTTTGTCACTGAAACGCCACACAGAGCTCTCAGGCTGGGGGATCACTTTGATCTCCTGCACATTTCGTTGGGGGTTCACCAATCCGGCGGCAGGACAGCCTAAATAAACTTCGGATAATGTGCAACACAGGACTCAACAAGTCTATATGTATTAATACAATGAACACATTGATTGTCGAACAGGAGAGGAATTGCCCATGTCAGTCTGGAAGTAAATTATTTTTTAATTATTTTTTACATTTACAGGTTTTTTAGAGGTCATGTTACCTGCAGGAGTATTGCTCAAGCCTTAGGAATTTTAATTTTTAAAAAAAATTGCAGAAGTGGTGTACTGAGCTTTAGGGAGATTGATTTGCAGCATGCTAGCAGAGAACAAAATCAGCCAAAATGCATATTATATCAAAATGCAGCTTTTCTGCCCAAGTGATGCTGCATGAGGTCACACACATAAAAGGCGTTTGTCGACATAATTCACATACTTGCATGCAAAGTGGAATTCCTAGATAACCTGCTAATTGTGGATGCAATAAAAATGTCACCATCCGTCTCCATTTGTAGGGAATAAATGCAATGCCCTGGTTTCTTATAGCAAGGCATCTGGATGAATGTTGATGATAGCAGAGTTGTTTCCTGAGGGGGGGGGGGGTGGGGGTGGAATCAGTGTTAGCTCCAGCTCACAGGAGAGGGAGGTGGGAGTTCTGTCGTGGGCTGTTTTAATTTTGCTGTGCCTCACCTGGGGTTCATCTTTAGTCCCCCTTAGACCCCAGTGTGTGGCCCTGCTGTACCTACACAGGTGTGAATGGAGGCAGTGGCCAGTGAGACCTGCAGGATCTGTGGCCTGCCTGATGTTTCCACTCTTCGACAGACATGGGGCTGAAAGTGTTTGGCGGGTGTGTTTGAACTACACTGGGTTACTTCGACAATTTTTAGAAAGCCTGTTGCAACATGTGTCATTACTATTGTAAGTGTGTCGATTTCCAGTCCCAGGACTCTTGCCCAGCCATTTTGCCCCATTCCCCACCCAGCCCAGGGTAAAAGCAGCATCCTTAAAAGCTAAGGAGCTCCTATTCTCTCACTTGTTCTTTCCTTCTGAGCCTGGAAGATGTTTTTTTGCCATTTCTGTTGTTACTTCAGTGTTGCATATTCTCAGCACTCAAAGTGTAATATTAAAGTAAAAAAATGTATTTATAGCTAGTTTTAGTTTGCTTATTGTTTACGTTTTGGGTGTACAGATCACCTGGTTTGAACAGTGTTCTCCTTTCAGCAAAGAAGCTAACTCTTTGGCTACAAATTTAATTCCTGTCGCAAGCTTGTCTTTTCATCCCTGCCCCTCTCGTTTCATGAGCTCTAGACCTCAAGCTGTGCTGATCAATCGGTCTGCTCACTTCGGGCTTCTCTGTGTGTGAGGGAAGGGAAACACTTTGTTAAAGATCCTCCACAGGCCCTGGAAAATACTGAAATCGAGAAGCGGCCAGTACAGATTTTAGGATGCTGACCCTGGGTTTCAAAAGGACTTGGTGGGAGTCACTGTGCAACTTTTGGTCAAAAGCTTTGCTGCTTCTGCTAGGATTGACGGTCCCTAATCACAGAAATGATTGCATTTGTATTGATACTGAGTGTATATTTTTAGGTGTTCTAGAAAGCAATAAGAAGGGCTGAAGACTGGCAGTCGCTGAAGATCATGTTAAACTGGCTTCCTGGTCAGCAGGACACCACACAAGGGGGCGGGGAAGGGCTGTTTATCGGAGGTCACAACAGGAGTCTTTTCCTTTCTTTTCTACCTTTGTCTTGTAGATCAAAGGGGATGCACAGCACAGACACTGATGCGATCGATCCGAGTCTCCTTGCTGGTGCAATCAGGAACTTCAGTGCTTCAGAGTTTTTCCAATTCCACAGATTTCCCCATGGTCAAAGGGGAATAATCCTACCAGTCGCTTCAGAAGTATACTGTTTCTGTAATAGCTGAAATTAGTTCGACTTGCAACGTATAGTTCAAAAGAAAAGGCATAAATTCCGTCTGCAACAGATAATGTTCGCATTTTTGAAAATTAGATCTGACAAATTCAGATAGATTGTATGCAGCAACCAAAAGTGTTGATTTTATGTGCGTCCAAACACAGAAATTGAATCAGTTTTTTCTTTACACTGTACATCTAAAATTATTTCAGGACTGTAGAGGCTTATCTGATGGCTGTATAGTGTCTGTTAGTGTTTTTTGCTTCTTTTGCTTCTTTTGGTATTTTAGTTATACCAATTAACCTGTGGTGAATTTGTCTATTTTGTGTAATTGGTGATTTTCAATACATAGTGTTTCTACAGTATGAGTGTTACTCACCTCAATGTGTTTGCAGGCTGTGTGGGAAGAATTACAAGTGTGGTTTATTACATTTGAATAAACTACCTCGTCATCAATATGACCTGTCAGGTTTGAGATCCAGGTAAATGTACTTTATTATTTTTGTTATGATAGCCTTTTCGAAATGTTAGGTCAGTGGGGAATCATTTATGCTGCAATTAACTTAATGACAGCGTGCAGTCAGGCGCTGGCTTTGAATCGGTGGGCCACAGGATGTTTCTGTATTGGAATGGGCATCACCGAATGAACTGGAAGAAAAAGGCTTATCATGTTGGGGTCAGTGGCCTTCGGGATGTATTTCGTTGAAGATGTACTGTAGCACAGTTATGCAGAAGTACAGTCTTAAGGCTCTGTATTTTTTGTGGGTGTTAAATAGGCATTATTTCCCATGAAGTCTGCAGAATTGTCTCTGATACTACTGTCCCAGGTCCAAGGGGGTCTGTTTGCACAGCACTGTAGGTGTTGATCATGACGTTTTATTTTACAGCACACAAAGCACATGTCAGAAACTGGTCTGGAGGCGTTATATCTGTGATGAGAAAGGATGCTGCTTTTTTTCTTAAGAACACAACTAAACTAGTTCTCTCAACGTGTCTTTGATGGCTGTGGGTGTCAATTGCTCCTTTTACATTTTAAATCAAAATGTTGGATTTTCTGCAGAAAGGTACTGTGGTGCTCAAATCCAGTCCCTCTACACCCTATGCACTTAGGTGATCTTCCAAGAAGGGAGAAAGTGAACAACTAGGAGATAACTGCGTAGATATTGGATTCCACAAATATGCAATATTACATACTTTCATGTCACTTTAATCAAACACGTAATGTAAGATGTTTGTGTGTAACTTAAATTGTAACTGAACACTCCTGGAATGCTTTACAACATTTCCACGTGTCGCTTAAAACGATACAGGATTGTGCAACTGGAGCTGTCGTACATCAGTGGGCAAGTCAAGGGACTGCACACTCCTGAAGTCTTGGCCAGCGGTAATCATTTCTAGTGTCAACAGGGGCGCGGTGATGCAGAAGACATTTGTGTATAACAAACCAATGCCTTAACACTGCAATTTTTTTAAACATAATTTTATTGTGTTTTTCCACCTCTCCATGTACAAGCCCACCCACGAAAAACGACAAGTTGCAGGGGTTTCTCAAGCATTTTCGGAAACATGTGCTCGTGCATCTCTCCCTGCAGAATCTTGTACTGTACAGTATGTGAACGTTTATACCACAGGTACAAAAATATCCCCATTCAATCCAATCATATTACAATGAAAACATACGGCTACATATAACATACACAGGTGAGCTTAGAGACATTGCTGTGACTTAGAGGAGTCTCAGTTTTCTGTTTTTATTTTTTCTTTGAAGTGTACGGTCCAGACAACATCGCTATGACTTGTCCTCGACTACGCTGGAAAAGGCAGGTCTAATTTTGTGGCACGTGCATACAGTGCACCCCCGCGGCGATTCAGACACGCAGTGTTTGC